CCAGGCTAACTTTGTACACTGGGGACAACAGATACAGAACCCAGAGCCTAATCCCTCTGTAAGGCCCATGGAAATGTCTGAGAACTGGGGGAAAAAAAAAAGCATTGGTTCCAAAATTCAGGGGAAAAAATCTGTGCCATCAAAACCAACAATCTATTTCAAATGCAGTATTTTAAAATGTCATTAAAAATTTCCTAAGACTCTGAGCTCCCAATGCAGGCGATCAAGGTTCAATCCTTGGTCAAGGAATGAGACCCCACGTGCCACAGCCAAGAGTTCACCTGCCACAACTAAAGATCCTGCATGCTATGACAAAGATCGCAGATCCCTTGTGCTGCAACTAAGACATTGGGTAGCCAAATAAATAAACAATATTAATATATTTAATATATTTTAAAAAATTATTTTTAGAAGTCATTAAAAATTATATATAATGTGAGATCCTTTTACTGATTCATGATGGGGTGGAGGAGATGAAAAAATCATTCCTAGAGTCTAAGATAGTCTTAAAATGTCTGAAAGATGAGTTTGTTTATGGTCAGAGACAAGAAGAGGAAGGCAGGAAAACATCTGCCATTTATTTAGCACCTACTGAAGGTCAGATGCTGTGCCAAGCCCTCTGCTTATGTAGCCTCACAGCAAAATTATGAAATACGTTCTATTATCATACCCATTTTACAGATGAGGAAACTGAGCTAGTTAGTGGCAGACCTATGATTCATACTGTACTTGAAAAAAAATGATCACAGTGCACTTTGCCACTAGCTAGCCATGTGACCTTAGATTTTTTTTTTAAAAAAGGTCTCAAACTTTTATAGCACATTGCAGTGTAAGTGCATGATCTCACCTTATTTAATCTCTCCTCCTATAGTATTATCCTTATTTTACAGGTAGTGAAATAGAGACTCAAGGTCATATAGATATTAAAAGGTGGTACCTAGGTTTTCTGGCTTAAGGCAGTGGATTATTTTTGAAAGGACACGCATAAAATTTGAAATCAGAGAAATCTTGTTTTGAATCCTGGCTATACAGGCAATGGCAACTTAAACAAGAGATTTCCTCAGCTGAGCCTCAGTGTCCTCATTTCTGTAAAATGTGGATAACGATACTAGTAGAAAAGGGGTGGGTGGCCATGCAGTGGACAAACCAGGCTGCGTGCCTAATCCCTGGGCTGCTCTGCTCCTTGGGCCTCAGGTTTTCTTCTCTTCTGGAGCCTCTTTTTTCTGAAGCGTAAGATTTGTGTATTACACAAAAGTTATCTGAGGGCCGTGCCAGTTTTAACTGCCTGTGATTCCATGACTTGCCTGTTATGCGTGCAACCTACCATAAAGCAATATTGGTCCCAATTTCAGTCCTTTGTGGGGATTTATTTTTTCTGCTTTGGTTTTACAGTAGGTCCTTGTTGGTTATCTATTTTATTTCTTATTTTTATTTTATTATATATTATATATATATTATATATATATAATATAATATATTATTATATATAATAAAATAAAAATAAGAAATAAAAAATATATATATATATTTTGACTACACTATGCAAGATCTTTGTTCTCTGACCACGGATCGAATTCATGACCCCGGCATTGGAAGCACAGAGTCTTAACCACTGGGCTGCCAAGGAAGTTCCCTGGTTATCTGTTTTAAAAACAGCAGTGTGTACATGTCAATCCCAACCTCCCAATCTATCCCCCCACCCTTTCCCCTGGTAACCATAAATCCATTCTCTAAGTTTGTGAGTTTGTTCTTGTTTTGTAAATAAGTTCATTGGGATTTTTTTTTTTTTTTAGATTTGCATATAAGCTATTGGAGAAGGAAATGGCAACCCACTCCAGTATTCTCACCTGGAGAATCCCATGGACAGAGGAGCCTGGCAGGCCCCAGTCCATGGGGGTCATAAAGAGTTGGACATGACTGAGCGACTAAATAACAATAAAAATAATAAGCTATCAGTTTTGATGCTAAGCAATGATCCCAAACACTTCAGTTATAACTCCTCTGTAAACCACTGCCCTCCAAAACACAAAGGGTTAACTTGTTAAAACCGACCCCTTGTGTTAGCTGGTAAATCCGCTGGAGAAAGGACAGGCTGCCCACCCCAGTATTCTTGGGCTTCCCTTGTGGCTCAGCTGGTAAAGAATCCGCCTGCCACGCGGGAGACCTGGGTTTGATCCCTGGGTTGGCAAGATCCCCTGGAGAAGGGAAAGGCTACCCACTCCAGTATTCTGGCCTGGAGAATTCCATGGAGTATACAGTCCATGGGGTTGCAAAAAGTCAGACACAACTGAGGGACTTTCATTTCACTTCACTTCACTTGTGTTAGCTGTGTGGATTGCCGTCTCCTCGCAGCAGCTCCAAGAGGCAGGCTCATCATTCTTCAGGGAAATGTTTGCCTCCCACACTGGCTCCCACGGATAGAACCTGTGGGCTTGTCTGCAGTTAGAAGCTGAGAGATAAATGCCGTGTAGCCTCCAGTTTGTGTGGGAGGAGATGAAACCAGCAAGTTGGCACCCCACCCAAGTTCTTGGCTAAGGATGGTGCAGGTAGAAATCCCACGGCTTTATGCAAAGCAAGGGTGATGGCTATCTGACTGGGTGTCTCAAAGGTTTGCACTTCAGGAAGACTCAGATTCTGAAAAAAAAACTGACAGGTGCTGTGGAATTCTTTCTAAATTTAACTCCAGTTTTAGATTATAGATGTGTACAGTCCAGCGCTTCCCTGTGGCTCAGACCTTAAAGCGTCTGCCTGCAATGCAGGAGACCCAGGTTCGATTCCTGGGTCGGGAAGATCCCCTGGAGAAGGAAATGGCAACCCACTCCAGTACTCTTGCCTGGAAAACTCCATGGACAGAGGAGCCTTGTAGGCTACAGTCCATGGGGTCACAAAGAATCAGACATGACTGAGCGACTTCACTTCACTTCACAGTCCAGAAAAGTTTGAAGAAAAGAGGGGGGAAAAAGTAGTACCCACCATCCCAAGAGGACCCATCAAAGGGTGTGGTGGGTAAGGTGGCTGGGTGCAAACTTGGTCTTGCCACTTCCCAGCTATGAGATCTTGGGGGGTTTTGTGTCCCCTCTGAGTCTAATTTTCCTCATCTGCAAAATGGATATAATGGTAATAGTACCTATTTTACAGGGACTATGGGTTCCCCTCATAGCTCAGTTGGTAAAGAATCTGCCTGCAATGCAGCGGACCCAGGTTCAATTCCTGGGTTGGGAAGATCCCCTGGAGAAGGAAGTGGCAACCCACTCCAGTATTCTTGCCTGGAGAATGCCATGGACAGAGGAGCCTGGCAGGCTACAGTCCATGGGGTTGCAAGAGTCAGATACGACTTAGTGACTAAACCACCAGTACACGAACTATTAAAATCAGAGGAGGTGTTTTCATTTCATTTTTCAAATGGGTTTTAAAAGGACAACATATGTCAAGCACAAAGCATAAGCACAGTATATTGTAAGTACTCAGAAAACTAACGTTAGCTCTTCTTGACTATTTTCCTTTGTTTGCACGCTTTTATGTACTTTTTTTTTTTTCTGGCTGCAACTCACAGCTTGTGGGATCCTAGTTCCCTGACCAGGGGTTGAACCCGCACAGTGAAAGCATGGAGTTCTAACCACCAAACAGCCCGTGAATTCCCTCACTTTGCATTCTTAAAATTGTCTACAAGTTTACACCAGAGCTGGCACCAGCCCCTGGCCCTACCCCTGTGATCTCCCAACATCCATATCCCTCTTCCCCACCGTCCCCCCATCCTCTCGACTCCAGCCATGCTGGCCTGATGCTTTTGCTCGCACACATGGCCTGTGCATCCAGCTCAGGGCCTGTGAACTTCCCGCTCTCTGCTGCTGGAATGTTCTTCTGGACATCCACATAGCTCTCTCCCATGCTGCCTTAGGTCTCTAGTCAAATGTCACCTTACAGTTATTCTCTGCCACCCTTAAGTATCTCCCTCCCCCATCCTCTCTACTCCTTTATTCTGCTTTGGTATTCTCCATAACTCTTGTTATTTCCTGGAATATGTATTTCTTTGTTCATATGTCTTTAGTCTGTTTCTCCTGAGGTGAAGGGATGCTTCACCAGACTGGGGTTTTGTTTCTTTTCTGCCACATCCCTGGTTCCTAGAATAGTGCATGATACATTTTTTGGCTTAAAATAATTTTTTATTGCCCTGGACATTTTAGCTCTTATGTCTTGTTTTTGTTTTGAAGAACTATAAATTCAAGCTTAGGAAAGCTTGCCTCTGTCTTAAACAAAACAACAAAGCTTTTGTATCATTTGCTTATCAAATGTCCTTTTAAGAGAGAGATAGGAGTAATCTAGCAGGGTAAAATTTATACCACGAGTGATGCGGCTCCAAGTAGTGCGTGCGTGCATGTTGTTCACAAAAATATAATCTGCTGGTGACATTTGCAGAAAAGAAACCCTTACAGATTTCTGTGGTTGTGGTTTAGTCTCAAAATTGTGTCCAACTCTTTGCGACCCCATGGTCTACAGCCATCAAGCTCCTCTGTTCATGGGATTCTCCAGACAAGAATACTGGAGTGGGTTGCCATTCCCTTCTCCAGTTGCAGATTTCTGAACAACAGTAAACTCTGTTAAGAAATTCTAAAATGTGTTACAGATCAAAAAGGGAATGATGCCTCAACAGAGTTCCAATAAAATACTGGATTTGAGAGCTACTCGACCAATATTTGTTGAATGAATTCATGAATCGGCCTGTCACCTTCTACCTCTACCAGCTGGCTGGCTCTTAGATACCCACAGTTCTGAACAATGTGCATGTTCCTCCCGTGGCCAGCCGCCACCTCCACTTACCAATCTCAGGCTCAGGCAGCACACCCTCCACCCACTAACTCTCTCACCCGGCCTCCCCAGCTGAGCGCCCTGTCTTGCTCTCTTTAGCAACATTTCCAGCTCTCCCGGAGCAGCTTCCAGCCGCGCTCAACTCTGAGTTCACAGTACAAAACAGAGCCATCGCAGGTGTCCTCATTGCCTACCTGGTGCAGCCCCGGCGACTCCCCAGGAGGCCAGGAAAATCAGCACCTCCGGCAGCCTCATCCTGGAGTTTCGCCTGATGGAGCCGTCGGGTTCTCCCGAGCTTTTGTTGGAGCCACAGACTTCCCAGCTAGGTGCTGGTGGCCGCGTGTCAGAGCAGCACTTCCCGTCCAGTCACCGGCTATACCCAGACACTGGGGGCATCCGGCTCCTCCGGCTTTTATTCCTGTGCCCAGGGGGGTGTGAGCAGGATTTGCCCCAGGAGTTGCACTTGCCAGGCCTTTGGACTCTCACGTAAGAAGCAGCACCAGTCCTGCCAGTTCCTCAGAGCCTGTCGGTCGGTCCAGTCAGCACCTGGATTCCCTTGAAACTCACTCAGCCGAGGTCACTGACCGGCAAATAACCACTTCGGAGTTTTCACGCTGCCCCGCCCCAGGAGAACAAACAGACCATAGAAAATGTCCGGCCTTTGCCAACAAAGGAACTTAAGTGCTTGTTGGAGACTGAGCCGCTTGACCACAAACGAACCCAGACCAAGAGTCATCTGCTCATTCATGCCGGAAACCCTATCCTGGGGAGACAGAGGGACGCACGGCCACCACTCTGCCCTCAAGAGGAAGAAGCAAGCCACTGGACTGCAGTTCTGCGTGACAGGTGGCTTGACAAGCCCAGAGGAGGGAGCTCACCCTCTGAGGAAAGTGAGAGGGCTTCTGGGAGGAGGTGACACGGCTTCGTCTCTTCTTTGTGAAAATTTGCCAACATAAACAGAAGTAGAGAGAACAATGTAAGGAGCCCCGTACCCATCCTCCCACAAGAGCAATTATGAACTCACAGCCAATCTTACTTCATCTGTACCCCCACCCCAACCCCAAAGGATTCTTTTCAGATTCCAGAGAGCATATCATTTTGCCCATAAACACTTTAGTATATATCTCTAAAAGATAAGAACTTTTTTAAAGAATTTTTTTAAAACCAGCATAGAGGATCTAAAAACAATTAAAAGTGTTACTGACCCTCCTCCTTGGACTCGTTTTTCTTTTTTTTAAACTTATTTATTTTATTTGGAGGATAATTGCTTTACAACATTGTGATGGTTTTTGCCATATATCAGTATGAATCGGCCATAGGCAAACATGTGTCCCCTCCTTCCTGAATCCCGCTCCCACGTCCTTCCCTTTATTGTTCGTTGTTCATTCATTAAGCCGTGTCTGACTCTTTGCGACTCCATGGAGTAAAAGCACGCCAGGCTTCCCTGTCCTTCACTATCTCTCTTTGCTCAAACTCATGTCCACTGAGTTGATGATGCCATCCAACCATCTTATCCTCTGTCGTCCCCTTCCCCTCCCACCCTCAGTCTTTCCCAGCATCAGGGTCTTTTTCATTGAGTCGGCTCTTCACATCAGGTGGCCAAAGCACTGGAGCTTCAGCTTTAGCATCAGTCCTTCCAGTGAATATTCAGTGTTGATTTCCTTTAGGATGGACTGGTTTAATCTCCCTGCAGTCCAAGGGACTCTCAAGAGTCTTCTTCAGCACCATAGTTCAAAAGCATCAATTCTTCAGCGCTCAGCCTTCTTTATGGTTCAACTCTCACATTCTTACTGACTATTGGAAATACTATAGCTTTGACTATATGGACCTTTGTCAGTAAAGTGATGTCTCTGCTTTTTAATACGCTGTCTAGGTCTGTCATAACTTTTCCTCCAAGGAACAAGTGTCTTTTAATTTAATAGAAATTGATAAGAGACCTGACGAGAGATTCAAGCAAGGCTTTATGGGACTTGTGCTGTATCACAGCAGAATGAAAACAAGAAACCGGTGCCCTGGCTCACTCTCCCAGGAGGGCAGGCTGGTTCTTTAAGTGGGATGAGGATAAAGTAGATGGTTGGATGGGAGGGGTAGCTTAGATGGTCTCCCCAACCCCTCGGTGGTGCTGTGTGTAGGGGTCATGCACAGTACCCAGCTTTTGCTCCCAGCACCTCAGAAGTTTGTGGCCTGTTTGTATCTTATTGTTCATAATTGGCCAAACTGCTCATGCTTGCAGTTATTTTTAATTGCTTATAGTTTCCTTGTATTCTGTTACTCAAGGAGGCATTTACCCAGGTGAAAGTGCAAGTACGCCAGTAGAGGGTCCCAGGTCCCAGCCTATCTCAATAGTAATTCCTAGGAACTATATCCCCAAGGAGATACTTGGTCAGTGTTTATACTTTCCTGATCTTCTCAAAGTACTTTTTTGTAATTTAATTTAAATATTTTTAATCTTATGGAAAAACTGGAATGAACTTTTTGGCTAACCAAATACAATTGGTTTTCCTCAAATCAGGATCTAAACCAAGCCCACATGTGCATGTAGTTTATGTATCTTTACATCTCTCTTAATTTTAGACTTTTCCCCCTCCTCGAATTTTTGTCTTTCCTTGTTAAGGAACTAGGTCATTTGTCTTGTGAAATTTCCCACAGTCTGGAGTATTTGGCTGATTGCTTCTTGGTGGTGTCATTTAAGTTGCTCTTCCATTCTCCATATTTCCTATAAACTGGTAGTTAGATCTAAAGTTTTCATGACATTTAGATTTTTTTTTTTTTTTGGCAAGATGACATCTCATGTGGTCTTGTGTCCTACTTGTTGCATTGCAGAGAAAAGGCACATAACTGTATAGTTGTCCCATCAGCTTAATCTTAATGTGCAGGCATGCCTGCATGCTCAGTTGCTCAGACAGTCTGACTCTTTGGGCTTCCCGGGTGGCGCTAGTGTAAAGAACCCACCTGCCAGGAAGATCCCCTGGAGGAGGGCACTGCAACCCTCTCCAGTATTCTTGCTGGGCTAATCCCATGGACAGAGGACCTGGCATGCCTCAGTCCATAAGTTCGCAAAGAGTCGGACATGACTGAAGCGACTTAGCACACGTGCACATCTGACTCTTTGAGACCCCGTGGACCTTGACACGCAGGCTCCTCTGTTCATGAGATTATCCAGCAAGAAAATTGGATTGGGTTGCCATTTCCTCCTCCAGGGGATATTCCTGACCTATGGATCAGACTTGGGTCTTCTACAGCTCCTGCATTGACAGGCAGAGTCTTTAACCACTGAGACATCTAGGAAGGCCAACCTACAGGCATACCTCAGGGATACTGAGGGTTATGTTTCAGACCCTCACAATAAAGTGAATATCAAAACAAGGCAGTCACATGAAATTTTTAGTTTCCCAGTGCATGTAAAAGTTACATTTACACTATACTGTGGTCTATTTAGTGTGCAACAGAATTATGTTTTTAAAATGTACAGACCTTAAATTTTTTTGGCCTTGGGATCTTAGTTCCCATTGAACCCATGCCCTCTGGATAGGCAGCTCAGAGTCTTTTTTTTGACTGCACTGGGTCTTTATTGCTCTGCTCGGGCTTTCTTTAGTTGCGGCAAGCAGACCTACCCTTCATTGTGGTGCTCCGGCTTCTCACTACGGTGGCTTCTCTTGTTGCATGGGCTCAGTAGTTATGGCACACGGGCTTAGTTGCTCCGAGGCATGAAGAATCTTCCTGGACCGGGATTGAACCCATGTGTCCTGCACTGGCAGTCAGATTCTTATCCTCTGTGCCGTCAGGGAAGTCTGGGAGCTCAGAGTCTTAACCACGGGACCACAAGGGAACTCCCTTAAAAATGTACATATCTTATTGCTAAAAATTAAAAAACATAAAAAACTAACCATCATTTGAGCCTTCAGTGAGTTGTAATCTTTTTTGCTGGCAGAGGATCTTGCCTCCATGTTGATGACTGCTGACTGATCAGGGTAGTGGTGCCTGAAGTTTGGGTGGCTGTGGCAATTTCTTAAAATAAGATAACAATGAACTTTGCCTCATCAATTGACTCTTCACTTGAACACTTAGAGGCCATTGTAGGGTTATTATTGTTGTTCAGTCGCTCTCGTGTCCAACTGTTTGCAACCCCATGGATTACAGCTCACCAGACTTCTCTGTCCTTCACTATCTCCCAGAGTTTGCTCAAACTCAGGTCCATTGAGTCAGTGATGCTATGTGGGGTTACTAATTGGCCCCATATCAATATTGTGTCTCAGAGAACAGGGAAGCCTGAGGAAAGGGAAAGAGTTGGGGAAACAGCTGGTCAGTGGAGCAGTCAGAACACACACAACATTTATGGAGTAAGTTCTCTGTCTTACATCAGCATGGCTCATGCCGCCCCAAAACAATTGCAGTAGTAACATTATCAAAGATCACCTATTATCACAGATCACTATAACAAATATAATGATAATGAAAATGCTTGAAGTATTGTGACAATTATCAAAATATAACACAGAGACACGAAGTGACAAATGATGTTGGACAAGTGGCACCAGTAGACTTGCTTGACACAGTGCTGCCAAAGACCAGTTTGTGAAAAACTTAGTATCTGCAAAGTGCAATAAAGTAAAATGCAATAAAATGAGGTCTCGTTGCATTTCTCTAAAGAAGACATACAGATGGCCAGGAGGCACATGAAAAGATGCTCAGCATTGCTAAGCTTTAGCCAAGTGCCCATCAATGGATGACTGGCTTAAGAAAACATGGTGTATATATGGAATATTACAATAGAGTATTATTCAACCATAAAAATAATGAAATATTGCCACTTGCAGCAACATGTGTAGACCTAGAAAATATTACGCTGTGAAGTAAGTCAGACAGAAAAAGACAAATACTTTATGGTATCACTTATATGTGGGGTCTAAAAAACAGTACACTTTTGGATAGCAGTCATCCTGACTGGCGTCTAATGGTACCTCATTGTGGTTTTGATTTGCATTTCTCTGATAATGAGTGATGTTGAGCATCTTTTCATGTGTTTGTTAGCCATCTGTATGTCTTCTTTGGAGAAATGTCTGTTTAGTTCTTTGGCCCATTTTTTGATTGGGTCATTTATTTTTCTGGAGTTGAGCTGGAGGAGTTGCTTGTATATTTTTGAGATTAATCCTTTGTCTGTTGCTTCGTTTGCTATTATTTTCTCCAATTCTGAAGGCTGTCTTTTCACCTTGCTTATAGTTTCCTTTGTTGTGCAAAAGCTTTTAAGTTTCATT